ATTAATGATCCAAATTGTGTTTGGGCTGACATATTTAGAGCAAATTTGCCTGATGCTAGTGATTGAATTAAAAAAAAAAACTGAGGTAATTGTCAAAGAAAAGACTGTAGTGTAAGGTATGTTATATATATATAAACATGTTGATATGTTGAGGTACTTGGTTGATAGCACTCTGAGTTTTGTTTGATTAATATATGACGATGTGGGTTGATGAAGCTTTGACATAAAAGTTGTTCTAGAGATATTATACTTATGATAATAATAAGTAATGATATGATAAGTTCTTTTTGTTGTTGCATGATGATTACACTAATGTTATGAACTAATGATGTCTATAGTCACTTTGATGGAGTTTGATTGCTTATGATATGTGTTGATGTGATTATGTTTACTTCTCTAGGTTGATGAAAAATCTTAAGTTACCTCATCCATGATGTGGAAATATTTTGTTGTACTAAAATGATATACTGAATTTATTATTTTTCTAGGTTGAGAAGTTTTATGCTGAGTTGATATGGTTATATCATGTGTTAATAGGACTTTATTACAGGAGCTGGGAGATCCAGTGCCACAATGATTAAGCTGTATTAGTGATATTGTATGTAAAGATGGGAACAACCACAGATGTCCACTAAATGGTGGCACTGGGGGCTCTGTTCGCCATCACAAGTTGTATTGGTCTAAACTAATGGGGTGTTGGTTATAATTTTTCTTTTATAGCTACTGGTGTCAAGAGATGGACATTGCAGAGTGTGATGATGATGAGAAGTGTGTGAAAACCCAAGAATACTTATCTGAGGGAGAGATTCCAAGAGAAACTATTTGTTGAATGCGAGTGATTAAAATAAAATTGTGTGGGAGTAAAATTACAATGCAATGTGATAATTAGGATTGGGAAATAGAATGAATGTTCATGTATAGCACCTAGTTGATATTGTTAGATCAAAAGTATGTTGGAGATGATATTTGATATGTTGGTAGAAATAAGTTAGACTTGATGGAAATGGTCGAAGCTAATGGGATTAGCTTGAATGGAGAGGGGGGTAATGTTATGTATGTTTGACTGGGGAAATCGGTGCGCATGGTTGATGGTGCGGCCGTATATTGAACGAGTGAATGTGTGATGCGATACGAAAGATAGTGACGTTTTAGGTTAGAGAGTTGGTTGCTATGAGTTTATGTGTGAGCAGTTGAATCCTTATCGTCGGTGTGAGAGGACGTGTGTTTGTTGACAGGACTCAAGTTGAGAGATAGGGTTTTGGAAGATAGACATCTGTAGATACAAGATTAAAAGATTTGTACAAGGATTTCTTGGTTCATCTTATTCCTGATCGTTTATCGTTGATCTGTCTGAATGTAACATAGCCTTAGTGACTCTCAAGGTTTAATACTCTCTCCCTGGTATTGGAGACGAGTGAAATGGTAGTTGGCTGAGTCAAGTCAATCAAACCCTTTCACAGCAACCTAACCGGAACACATATGATCATAGCCAAAGTTCCAAAACACTGTTTTGAAAAGAGCTATCGTTTTTTTTGGACAATTAACAATGTTTATACAGGGAAACTTCGGACCGGTCAGTTCTAACGATCTTCCCGCGAGATTTCCGGAACATATCATAGTTTTTTTTTGCCATCCCCGAGGGTCGGTCTACGACCTCAAGAGTTGTGAAGAGGTTCCTACGTGGGAATTTGTCTTCGATATATAGCTTTTGTTTTGACCCCCTTTTCGTGGACTTGTTGGCCAACCGGCACTGGCCCTCGTGTTCTGTCGCCCCAAGGCACGATACTGCCAAATTTGAAGCGCCTGCGGCACCTGGAAGTCCCCTACCGGCACCCGACCACTTTGCTTTATAAATATAGATTACATTCCTATTCATAACTCTGCTATTGGTGATTTATTTTGTTCTCCTTAATCGACGCTGTCAATTCAATACTTTGCTGTTTGAATTAACAACAAGATATAATAACTGGTATGGATATGACAGTGTTATAAAGTTATAAGTCCATTGTTGATGCTAGTGGGGTATCCCCCCAACCCTCTCGATCGCCTGGTCTTTGACCTGAGTACGTCCCAGCTGACTTGGTATGCAAATTTTGGGAAACACGTAATGAGATACCTTATTGTGGTTGGGTGGTGAGGGCCAGAGAGATAGGACAGTTCAACTTTAGCCTTGCTAGAATGTAAACGTTTTTTGTTTTGTCAAGTGTGGTAGGGCTGACCACTAAGGCCGGGCGCTTCTAATGAACAAGTTCTCTTCCTTTTTAGGCCATATTAAGACTATCATGTATTGTTTAGTCTCACCATCTACCGAATTAAAGTTGCTGTGTTGAAATTGTTTTGGTGTCTTTTCTTTAACCTCTCACTGCAGCCAACAGTACCAACCATACTGATGACTTCATAACACACAGAATGAACTATTCTATGAAAAAGCTATTGATAGATATGCGATTATATATTAATCCGTAAATATGCATTTTACTTCCTGGATGAATAAGCCTGCAATCGAAATATTAAGTCGGTAAAATCAGTGCATTAGATACTTCCTTTTGCCTTTAAACGTATGCCTTCGTTAAAAAAATATCAATGAGATATATTTCCTATAACAAAGGTTGAAAAATTACAGTACGACGCCCAAAACATAAGTGTTACCAAACAGGACGTAACAATAAGCACACAATGAAGGCAATCAGAAAGTAAAAGAAATAAATAAAACGTGCCGCAGCTTTCTTGAGTGTTGGTTTCACATGGTCACAGCCCACCTATCACAAATGTAAAAACCCACACAGATCAAAGATCTGTTCATAAATATCCTTTTAGCAAACGGAGACTCCGTTGGCTAACGCAACAAAAAAAATCCCCACTTTTTCTCAAACTACCGGGTTCAATAAGACATCCTGCTTTACTGCAGTAGATGTTTGATTCTAGACTTATTCTTATCCTTACCCTAAACCATACCCTCACCCCTTACCTCTTTTCCTTACCTTTTACCCCTTACCCCTTACCACTTACCCATTACCCATTACCCATTACCCATTACCCATTACACCTTACCATAACATTACCATTACCATTACCATTAACATTACCATTACCATTACCATTACCATTACCGTTACCGTTACCGTTACCGTTACCGTTACCATTACCATTACCATTACCATTACCATTACCATTACCATTACCATTACCATTACCATTACCATTACCATTACCATTACCATTACCATTACCATTACCATTACCATTACCATTACCATTACCATTACCATTACCATTACCATTACCATTACCATTACCATTACCATTACCATTACCATTACCATTACCATTACCATTACCATTACCATTACCATTACCATTACCATTACCATTACCATTACCATTACCATTACCATTACCATTACCATTACCATTACCATTACCATTACCATTACCATTACCATTACCATTACCATTACCATTACCATTACCATTACCATTACCATTACCATTACCATTACCATTACCATTGCCATTGCCATTGCCATTGCCATTGCCATTGCCATTGCCATTGCCATGACCATGACCATGACCATGACCATGACCATGACCATGACCATGACCATGACAATGACCATGACCATGACCATGACCATGACCATGACCATGACCATGACCATGACCATGACCATGACCATGACCATGACCATGACCATGACCATGACCATGACCATGACCATGACCATGACCATGACCATGACCATGACCATGACCATGACCATGACCATGACCATGACTACTGCCATTGCCATTGCCATTGCGATTACCATTACCCGTATCCTTATAAGATTAACAACACAATACATAAACTACTATGATCGTTTAAGGGATAGTTCATATTGAAAGGAGACGATATGATTCGAGAGTAGTTGCGATTTTTAAACTGCTTTGTATAATGTGGTTAGTGTGTATATGACGCGACTAGTAGAAAAGAAATGATGGCAAGTTGGTGAATATAATCGTGACAGGAAGGTTTTTTTTTGTGTTGACGATGATAAGTGGCATTAAATCGGATTAATTCGGATAAATTGGAATAACAATTCTTGTATTAAAGAATACTGAATAATTAACTTTAGCAACATTTATAGTTAATTTTAGGCCTTTTAATACTGAACGCTGTCAAATTATTTCTAATTATTTCTAATGGTCTATAAAACATTACCACTTATCTGTGTGTATTAATTTTGTTTATTTATGCTATAATTTTAAACATTAAACGATATAGTATATAAATTAACATAGTAAAAAATAGAACCTTGCTAAAAGTAAAGAGACTATGTTGGCATAATAGTTGGTTTTGTTATCTACAAAAGCATGATTGTTACAACATAGAAACAAATATAGACCAACACAATGAGAGATATTCTAAACTGATTTTATGTTTTATTTTCAAAGTAAATGTTTTTTTAAAAATCTGAATCTTTATCTTAATAGTAAACTTAAATCAGTTTAAACGTAGTTATGTCAAAGTGTATAAGAGAATCTCTGTGAACATTTTCCTTTCAGTTCTAGTTAATAACTTGTATTTATTCTACCAATCGTGTTCTTAGTTTTTCCGTCAGCGAATAGTCTAAGAAATTTCCTCTGGTAACAACGATGTTATCCTCCAAAACAACTCTCGACAGTTCGGCTGGCAGACGGTGACGTAACTGGTCCTCAACAAGAACGACAATCCTTTTAGGGTTAGCAGACGTCAAAGCAGATGTGGCTGCTCTACACATGAACAAGAACCAACGGTCAATTGACAAAAACGTTTCGTTCGTTGACAACCAGAAGAACGCGCCAACTTCTGTCTATTGCATGCACAGTGGCAGTGGTAGAGGCAACGTCAGTTGAAGGTGAGAGGACACGTGCCTTTGTATCTTTTTGAACTATTCTTTATGTCTTGTGTGAACTTGCCTATGAATCTTGTTTAAACTATTCTTTATGTCTGTACTTGTGTGAACTCGTCTTTAAAATGGTTAGGCTAGTAATCGAGTTCTCAGCTTATCCGTGACGTCATACTTGAGTCTCCTCCCCTCGTTCATGACGATGATGTTTTCCTCAGACACCGCCCCCAGGATGTCACGTGGTAAACGATGACGTAACTGGCTGTCAACCATAATCACAATAAGATTAGGATTAGCGGGCGTCAGGTTGGATATGGCTGACCTGCATGTGTAGAGGAACCAATCGTCTTGCGAGAGAAAAGTTTCGTTCACGACCAGAAGCACGCGCCAACTTCTATTTATAGCATCGATAATCCCAGACGCCAGGTCGGTTGAAGGTGAGAGGTCACGGTCACGAATAAAGGTCGTTAACCCCAGCGTGGCCTCGATAAACTGCCTGAGGTCATGACAAGCTAACTGGTAATCTCTATCAGCATAACCAATGAAGACACCAATCTCGTAGTTGGAAGGTTTCTTTAGAAAGGTTTCACTAAACAAATTCAGCAGCCCAGAAATGATGTACGTTTTGTACTTGGTAACAAAAAAACACAACACAAATCCAATGATAAGCAAGCAAAACAGGATCACAGAAAGATACAGGAAAAATGTTCCCCAACACTGACGCCAGTAAATTTGTAGATCTGAAAGAGCTGTCGTGTATGTTAAAACTCCATCGTTATCAACGCACGAATAGTTCCTGAACATATCCATATTTACAACTGTCAACTGTATCCACTGTAAGAATTGGATGTCATGGCATCCACAAGATAAAACATTTCCTTCTAAATAAAAGCTGAACTCCTTGTTTTCTTTAAAAATTTGGTCCAAATTATTTCTTATTTCGACAGGAAGTCTCGTCAATTCATTAAATCTCATGTCCAAGACACTCAGCCTAGGAGTGTTCTTCAAACTAAATGGAATTTTCTTGAACCTGTTTCCTGCAAGAAAAAGCTCTTTGAGATTGACATTTTTGGAGAAAATTTCAGGGCTAAGAAACGCCAGTTGATTAAAAGACAGATCAAGCTGCTTTAAATATTGAAGATTCTGGAACAATCTTCCTCCAGACTCTGCCATAAACTGACCAATGAGCTGACAACTTGACAAGTCCAGTGTCTCTAAACTTGGCATCGTGTCGAAGAATGTTCTGTTGATGACAGTAAGTTCACTGCCTGATAGAATAAGAGCTTTTATATTTGTCAGTCCGTGTAGGTGATGGGTAAACATTGACCCGCCGCCATCCGATACATCTAGATAAACGAGATTATCAGCGTATACAAACGTTCCATTCGATTCAATCGAAAAATCCGTGATTAAATTTCCAAAGTTTAAACATCGAAGAGACTTGGAAATGTATAACTTATACCCGTTGCTAATATTAGACGTGAACATGTAGCTACTATCGTTTAGATTATAGTTAAAGTTGTAGTTTTGAGTAGGGTTAGACGTTCTGCACATATTGCCATAATCAGTTTTCAACAGAGAATTTTTAGCAGCCTGTGGTTTTGAGTAGTCATGAATGATTAACGTCTCTAAGTTACTCATCTTAAACAAGTGTAAAACGACAATTTTCGTTCCCATTATAGGGTTATTTGTAAGGTCCAAGCTCTTCAGGCAACGATCCCACGTTTTACTTGTTACAGCCTTGTCTAGAATGATGTAAAGTTTACAATTAGTTAAAGCGACATGAGCAACACATATCTGTGTCAAATATTTTGTGTGTTTACGGCTTAAGATACCGTCACCTTGAAGAATATCCGAATATCTATCATGGACGAAAAATCGAACATAATCTAAGACGATGGTATCCATGGATTGGCCTACTAGCCCACTTAAACTTGCAAGAACTACTTTAAGGTGGACTCGAAGATCGCTGATATAAAGCTGGTTTAAATTTGTCAGTGGTTGGAAAACACCAGTATCGATTTCTTTTATCGTTCGAATTACGCTTAGATCAAGTAGTTTGAGATTTCTTAAATTTATAAAACTATCTTTTGTTACCTTTCTTATATTTCCTCTCAGTTTTAATTCAGAAAATGTCTTTAAACTTCTGAAATTTTCACCGAAATTGAGTAATTCATAATCAACGCTTACTGTCAATGATTTCAAGTTTAAAATGCTTGAGAACGCTTCAATGGGGTAGGGTGTAATTGGCAGTTTTACATCTTGTAGCATAGACAACTCAGTCAGATTTTCAAGAGAAGCGAATGTGTCGTTAGACATGTGGTGTATCTCTAAGGGATTGTAATCGAGATTTAGATATTCTAACTGCCCTAGCCCTGAAAAAGTATCTGGTTGTAGATCTGTAATGCTGTTGTATGACAAGCTGAGACGTCGAAGATGACTTAGGTGGTCAAAGGTCGCGGGTACAGAGGTCAACTGGTTGCTATCTAATAAAATGGACATCGTATTCTGGGGAAACCAGGTAGGTAAAACACCTGTCAGCTGTAAGGAACGACAGTCAATTGTAAGTCCTGTATTCTCCACCCGTTGCGAACATGGCGAGTGGCTGGGTACTTTAGGAGCTGCGTGACTCGGTTGCTGACTCGTAAAGTCATCATTGGAATGAGATCTGCTTGTTGATAATATGAAGCACAAAACTCGGTTTGTCGAACATAGGAGTAAAACAATTAAGCACGAGTAATTAAGGGTGAGTTGTATCAGGTTTTTAATCCTCATCTTCGTCTGTAGCGGCTAGCACAAATATTGATCTTTTAAAAACTTGAAACCTTAACATCTACTTTCTTGGAAGTTTGTTTTTTATTTCGGTTTTATACTTTTTAATATTTGATTGGGTGTTTACCTGAAAATACATAATTGAAAAAATATATCTTTGTAGCGAAATGTAAAAATTAATTATCTACTTTACTGTTATTATTTTTAGTGGGTATAAAAGTACATAAAAATAAATTTGAATTATCTTTATTCTGATTTTTATAAATGCCCATAAATATAAAAAATTTTTTTTTGCTAGAACAGAAATCGTTTGAATTGATTTAGTCATCAATTTTTGTAAAAGATGTCAAAGTCCTTTCAAGGTAGAGGCTTATTACGTAAACAGTTTTATTTTTTTTTAATTTTTTTTTTACAAATATACAAAGTGGAGAATTATACTTGCATTACTGCAATCCCCCTTAAGAAACGTCTTATGCAAATGGTTGTCAGCGGGACATTACATTACCCACCTCCATCATCCCCCCCTCCACACACACACGGAAAATTATTCATTAAGAGATAGAAATACGATCGAATAAGCATAAAGATTAGTAGGTGTTAGGGTTCAGGATTAGGGTTAGGGTTAGGGTTCAGGGTTAGGGTTGGGGTTAGGGTTAGGGCAAGGGTTCAGGGTTAGGGTTGGGGTTAGGGTTATCGGTTTTCGGTTAGATTTAAACTTGAGAAACTTCCCTAAGAAAATAGAAATTTTGAAACCGATGTTTGTGTAGTTTGTTTTATATTCAAGTTTTAAAATTGATTTTAGTGTCATTCTTGATCTGTAGAGGGAAATAATTACTTTGGTTGGTAATGACAGGGAGGTTATTGCTCTGGAATGTAACGACGTTGTTGAGTGGGGGGGGGGGGGGGCTGGGAAAAGTCCGGCGTTAATTGGTTAATTGACTATATTGAGTATCATTCTGGAATTAAATGGTTAGTTAATTTGGATACAACGAAGTCTGAAATCATTGTAAGCCGAGTATTCAAATAAATGCTTAAAAAAACCCACAAAACATACCAAATTGAAGACTGCTAAGTTTGACCTGTTGTCGACTAGACTTACTAAGAACACAGAAGCCTTAAAGCCACATCTAATAGTGGCCACTGACGGAAGTTTAAAGACGACGACGCTATCTACAATGTTGTAAAGTGGGCTGCCACGCTCTGCTAACTCTTCTTACAAAACCAGAAAGATAATAATAGCTTTAAAATTACGGATGTCTCAACTTACAAGCAGACATTTATATATTATTTTAAACACCCCAGGGTATCAAGGAAGTGAAATATCCCATACATTTTAAATTTATATGTCATAGATGTAGATTCAATATTTCCCTGACAAGCATGTAAATTAGTATCTGTTAAATTTAAGACCTTGGAATTAGCTGTTGAAACACCGAGCTGGGGGAACGATTAACAGAAAAAATATTTATAAACCTGGACATTTGAAAATAAACTTTTTACTTCCTTGGTAAATAATTTCAGAATCGGCCTACTTAGACCATTCTAAATAGGTTTTTTTGTTTGTATGTGTTAAAAGATGAATGTTATTCACTAGGTTTTTCGATTGTATGTGTTAAAAGATGAATGTTATTCATTAGGTTTTTCTATTGTATGTGTTAAAAGATGAATGTTATTCACTAGGTTTTTCGATTGTGTGTGTTAAAAGATGAATGTTATTCACTAGGTTTTTCTATTGTATGTGTTCAAAGATGAATGTTATTCACTAGGTTGTTCGATTGTATGTGTTAAGAGATGAATGTTATTCACAGTCCCGTGTCCTAAATATCAGCAGTGTCTTAGTCAAGCACAATAAAAACACATGTAAGTGTCAACGTTTATAACAGCACTAGCGAACACTTAGTCCACACAATCTAGAACCTGCCAACATAAATTAGCCCCTACCCCTCCCAACCCACAAAGTTTTAGTAAAATAACATGGCAGTTAGTTTAACAAACGCGAGATATTTTAGACAGCAGATTCTGCAGCTTGATCAAGCCGTATCGAGCATTAGATCTGGTTCCTTCAATATGTCGCCAGCAGTGACCTCATTCTATTACTATATGTACGGAAAACCCAGGTGTCTTAAAATGCAACTTAAAACGAACACAAAATAAATAAAAAATGCAAACACTATCTATAATTTCCACTCAAATTAACGGAGTTTCAGGTGGAGGAGGAAGTGGGGGTGGGATTAAAACTTTAAGGAGGGTGATAAAGGGGGGCACTTTAAATTTCTCCTAAAGGGGGGGGGGGGGGTTCACGTGAAACTTCCGAGGGCCGAGGGGTTGCAACATCAAAAGCAATTAGATGCTTAAAACAACATTAAAACAAAACTAAATTTTAAAGAAATATTTAAATGTGTAGAGAACCGTAATGCTAATGACAATGTGCAGCTATACATATAGGTTTGTATTTGCTAAATAAAATTACAAAAATTTATTTAAAAAAATTAGAATATTAAATTATTTAAAAATAGTTGACATAACAAGACTATTCCTACAGCCTGTAGCACAAATAATACTGGAGCATAACGGCTGACGTACGTGACGGATCCAGCAAGTAGTCCAAACTTTGTTATTTACTCGTAGCATCTGATTTAGAGCATGACATAAATGAAAACAAAAAATCAACTTCAATGAAAATAACACTAGGGGAACTAACCAATAGAATTATAAAGTTAGGTTTTTACTGGGTTCCTCCCCTTTAAAGATTGATTTATTGAAACGGCATCTATTGAGTATGGGACCACAAAATAGAAGTTTTAAAACTTCAAAGCTAATTAAAAATCAATAGGGATAATTTACACAACACACGTATCATACATTTATGATGAAAAAAAAAACATATATTATAATTGTGATATATCCGTAGTCTATAATGTCAAAGTTATTGTGCCATTACGAGTGGCAAGTAGAGAAAGGAATAAAAATTAATATCATGATATGAACAAAAGTTGAAAAAATATACAATTTTAGTAATCATACAACCAGGAATCTAGTTAAAGTATGATAGAGATGAGGTGAATTATTCCCGGGTTATGTCCCTTTATGTGGACAGATTCGATATTTTAGTTGTATATTTGGTAAGGGTCGATAATCGATTTTCTGATGGGAAAGTGTGAATATTTTCCTATTATCCTACTCGATTTTTTTTTTCTCCAGTACGATTGCTGTGTAAGCAATTATTGAAAACTGAATGAGTAGGGGGTATGGGTGAAGTGTCAGCCAATGAATCGTGTCATTACAATGTTTATTTTTGTAGGTTTTGTGACTGTTGAATAGGTAAAGCTAGGTGTAAAGTAGCCAAGATACCTTTCATGGTGAGTTTTTGGGTGTGTTTTGTGTCATCGTCTGTGTTTAACTTGGTTACATGTGGGTCTCAAAGTTAAAATATGTTTTGAAGTGTTCCGATAAAAAGATTTTAAAAAGAGTTAATGACAGTGAAAAAATATATTAAAGCTGAGTTTACAGTTATATATATATAGACTTGACAAGGGAGAAAACAATACATAGACTTGACAAGGGAGACAAGAATACATAGTCTTGAAAAGGGAAACAACCGTACATAGACTTAACAAGGGAAACAACAATACATAAGCAATGTATTTCTCACCTTAGTTTATGGGTATCAATCATGTGGTTGGCATGTAAAGAAGGGGAGGTGATTGTGCAGGTTGTATCTAGACATGCATTGATCTATGTTGGTTGTTTAACCCCTGACGACCTTTCATGATTTGAATAACAAGACGTAAACAACAGATTGTGTCACTATACAGCTGGGGAAGTTAGAGAGTAACTTGGACATGTATCTGATTTAACATGCACTTCTTTAGAAAACATGGCTATACGAATCTTCTAGACTTTTCTGTTTGTGCGTGTGTGTGTTAGAGAGTTTTTATTTGAGTAAATGCGTTTATGTGTGTACGCAATGTGTATGTGTTTGTGTGTATGTGTGTCTGCGTATATGCGTGTGTGTATGTTTGTGTGTGCGTATATGCATGTGTTTGTGTCGACTATCGATCTAAAAGCTCAATTTTGTGTTACTGGGTTGTTTGCAAACCTTTTTTCTTTGGACGTGTCATAGGGTTAGGTTTTTGGGTTTGGGTTTGCGTGTTGGCTTTTTGTAAACTTTTTATCTTTGGACGTGTAACAGGCCACTCGTCACAACAGAATGCCGATGAGGTAACCCCAATATTGTTTTGGCTAAAATAAATGCTTTAAACTATAAACATTGGTTAGTAAACCTAAAATATTGGTTGTTATTTTTAACTTTACAAACTTGATACACAAGACACATCATCAAATTGTCTCATGATTACAAGTTTAAATACCAGTACAATTAATTTTTTAAAATGTAATTAATAAAACTCTACTTCATTATTCCCACCAGTTGGTGGTATTTAGCGATGTGACTTATGATCTATTTAAATCAATGAATTGGAATAATTAATGCGACATAGCCCAACAGCGGAGCGAATGTTGAAGGCCACAGGCTGTACATTTACAATTCTAATATCCGAGGACTCAGTTATTTATTGGTCGGCCAAGTGTTCTAAGAGGCCAAGTTCCCACCTGGTATAGGAAGGTGTCCGCTGTTACATGGTGTAGTAAGGTTGCGTTTTTACTAGTGTAGCTAGGTGGCCTTACTTGGTATAGTGAGGTGACAGTTTTTACTAGAGTAGCTAGGTGGGCTTACCTGTTGTAGTTAGGTGGCCGTTGTAAGCCTTACCTGGTGTGATAGACAGGGCCGTTACACAATTCAATATTTGTAATTTAGGTGACGAGAAGGGAAGACAAACCGAAAAATCTTTAGTTGTCAAAAGCAAGTTAGTTGCAGAAACATGTTAAGTCCTATCGTTTTATGTTTTCTCTTCTTTCTGTGGGGAACACATTCTGGTAAGTTTTTACTAGCTTTTTAACACGTTTTTATTAACTCAGCTTCGCGTTTGTGTGTTTGTTGTTA